TCTTGTTTAAATAAGTGAAATGAAAGCTGGCAGAAACAAAAGAAGAGTATACATTATTCAAGATTTGAGACAAAATCAAAGTGAAAATCTTGTTCAATTAAATGTAAAAAGAAAATATTCTCATCTATAATTCAGCTGAAACTAGGACATGGTTATTTCAAATCTTATATACAAAGATTTGATGATAGATTTGATTCAACAGAGTGCTCATTCTGCAATGTGAATGAAAATCCTGAGTATATTGTAATACATTGTGCATTATACAATAGTCTCAGAGTCAGATTAAAGAAAAAGTATGATTTAAATCAATTAAATATGAGGTTCTTATTCTCAACTGAGACAGGAACTAAATACTTAATAGACTTTCTATCAGAAACTAGAGCAGCTACAAGAAAATGGCTGAATTTAGAAGTATCTGAATATGAAGAGATGGAAATTGACTAGATATAGTCTGTTAAAACAGCTATATATCATCTTTTAATAATTTTATTTTGTTATACTCTCTCTTTACTGTACTTGTTTTCTTCTGTTCTTTTCTCTATCTATTTAATGTGTCTATCTTTCAGACTATATTCTCTTTTCTTTTGTCATAATATTTTCCAATGGTTTCAAACTATCAGAAGGTGTTGAAATACTGCAATTTGTAAACAGTTTTTGTATTCTGAGCTGGAATTTTCTGATTTTGCATATTTGAAATTGATAAATGTATAATAGTTGACTCTATAGATATAGGAAAAACCCTGAGAACTAAAGATTCTCAGGTAGATGTCATAGTCTCTAACTGCATACATCTATAATTGAAGAATAATAATAATAATAATAATAATAATAATTTCTCTCATTGATTTCACAGATAAGATATGTGAAGATAATTTTAAAAAATATAAGATCTTCTGACTTCTGATAGAAATGAATCTCACAGAGAGACTCTATTTTCATTATATTAGAGACTGAGTGTTATTAAAAAGTATTACTTTAATATATATACACTTACTGTAGTAATTCACTCTCTATACATGTAACTGAGAATTGCAGCTTTCTCATACTGCACAGCTCTCTCTGAAATGCTGCTGCTGATTCACAATTTATACAGTGTCTCAGTTCAGTACACACTGTATATATACAGCTCTGTGTGCTGAGACTGTGTTAATCATTATAATCTGATATGATACTTGCTTTTCATAGATCATATTTCATTTAATTGAGAGAGGGAGAGAATGTGACTACTGTTTTATTTAAGAAAGAATAAGTAATTGAATCTGTAGAAGATAATTTAATTTCTTCTGTATTTAAAATTTGATTAGTCTATACTCTTTAATTTAAGAGTTTCTGAGAGTGTTTTAATAGTTTTCATATCAGTTTGAAATTAGTGATTAATTGAAGAAGAGAAAAGAGAGAAGAAAGAAATAAGAATAACTTATCTTTATAATATGAAAATAGAGAATTACTGTAATTATTTATTCTAGTAATAAAGATCTGTTTTCTGTATGTATCTCTGATACAGATTATATAATAACTGTATATAAAGAATATCAATAGTGTATGTATTAAATGAAGATAATATTACTATATAACATTGTAGCTATTTCTATACATTGCTGAAAGCTGTTAATATTTTCTTTAAGTCTCTTTATATTTGATAAGTCAGTAATATATAGACTGGCCGCCGGGACCATGAATTTCACATTTGGTCCCATTTGGTCTGGTCTCATACATTTCTTGGCGTGAGTCCCACCAGGACCAAGCCTTAAAAAAATCTGAAAATGGACCATTTCTGAGAGAAATGGTGTGAAAAATGACCAGATTTAATTCAAGAACAGTGAAATGAGAGTAATTTTCCAGAATAAACTGTGAAAGATGATCATTCTTTCAAAATCAGAATGAGACTGAGACTGAAGGTCAAAATCAGTCTCATTCAGTTCATTCAGTGATTGCTTATATAATCAGAATTTGGTAATGATTATTGGTAACACTCATGAAACAACTAAATACATTCTTGTGTAAGTTTATTCTTCACTTTCTCATGAAAACTACACTTCTCTGATATACTGTGATCAGAGGTATTAAACTGTCTGATAATTCCATGTTTTACAATCATGAGTTTCTTGATTGTTTCTTCTTGTAATTGTCTCTGATGATAGTGACAAATATCTTGACTTGAGTTGAACTTTCACTTCATTCCCACCCCTGTCAATGGAATTGTCAGAATATCACGCGTCATCAGTGCAACAGTTGAATATGTACTCTCAACAATTTTTCATAACTCTAGAATTGATTTGACGTGTAAATTCATTGAATCATCTTGAAGATAGTGATCAAATTCAGTTTTACAAGCATGTAGTTTTGCCTGATTTTCAGTTGCAATCAATGTATACAAGTCCTGTTTCAAAGTTAGTATTATAGTTCTATGTGATATGAAGTGTTATCAAAGATTATTACTTACTAGAGAATTGTATTTCACTGTCTCCACATCTCAAACATCTGCTTGTTCAAATCTCTGATAGTTGACATTGTAGTAGTCTCAGGCTAATTTGACATATGAGTCTCATTCCTCCTCTGTTCAATCTTGAGAAGTGTAGATGTTAACTCAACAGGAGAGATCTAGTAGAGCTGCTATAGCATAGTACTCTGCAAAAGGTTGTTCCATTTTGCTGTAGTAATATGCCAGTTTATCCCTTACAGTAACAATAGCCTGCGCTATAGCATCATTTCAGACTGAATTTCTTTTTGAGTGATTCAACTGCTTCTCAAGATGAGTAAATAAACTGTTATACACTCACCAGGCTGACTGCAGCATTGGTGTACAAGTGATTGAGACTGTCTTTGTTATCTTATAAAACTGAAACAGTAAATCAATCACATATTTCAACTGAGTTCACTTCATATCAGAAAGTTTCAATATCTGAATCTTTTCCTGATCAGAGTGTTGCACTCAATGATCAATTGTCTGACACAATCAAAGAGTCTGAACAGTCATCTCATATATTGAACTTCATCATGTTCTAACATCCTGTATCATATTCAGTGATGTGACTGATTTGTTTATTTGTTGAATATCATGGAATTGTTGTTGTTGTTTAGAAGAGGTACAAATCACATTAGCAATGTTTCAAATCTATGATATTTAAATTATTAGTCAATCTATTCAAAATTAACAGTAGCATTATCAAAAAGTGTTATCAAAAAGCAATATCAAAAAGTGTTATCAAAAAACATTACCTTTTGCAAAGTGAATGCAAAAGTTACTTGAGTAATCACTTCCATCTCATTCTCATTTCAAGAACCAGCTATCTCATTATTCTTCATCTCAATGTTAAGATTCTTTACCAGTGTTTGCATCACAAGTTGAACCACATGAGCAATGCAGGGGATATGACCTTGTTTATCATTCCAGGAATGCAAAGCCAATTTTTACTCCAAGCTCTTCATCATAGTGTAGTTATTCGCAGCATTGTCAGTTGTAATTGCAAGAAGACTGGGACTAATATCTCAATAGTCATTTTTAATCACAGTCATTAATACCTCTGTCATATAATCCTCAGTATGACTACTGATCAATGATTCAAATTCAATTAATGTCTCTTGATAAGTTCAGTTCTCATCAATGTAATAACATATAACTCTCATAAATGCAAGATTGTTTGTACTAGTTCATGCATTCACTGTGAGAGACACTCTTTGATGATTCTTCAACTCTGATCCTAGATGTTGCATATTGACTTTGTAGTGTGTCTCAAGGTTGGACCGAAGACAGGATCAATATAGAATATGAAGATTTGAATTAAGCATTTGAAGAAGTGTTCAGAATTCGGGGTTTTCAATTAATTGAAGAGAAAGATTCAGAGATATACACATGCAAAGTAATTGTTCACAGAAGTTATCAGATGAGAGTTGTGAAATCAGAGTACTGATATGAGGTCATTTTCACATAATTTCCTTCAAATTAGAAAGTTAGCATTATCAAAAATCATTACCTGGTAGAGCAACTTACCAGCCCAGTAGTAATTTTCTGATTATTTTCCTTTTGTTGTCTGCATTCTGATGACTTCAGATGTCAGGAAATTTCTTCAGAGCTATGACCAGTTCATGATGAATGTTTCTGAATGAAGTTGCGGTGATTACAGCAGAGAGATGACTCTTCAGTAATCTGCAATGCAACCTGTTGATAATTATTCCATAGTTCATCTCAATATTTGTATTGAGTTTTCCATAAATTTCATGACCTGGAATCAGATGTGAAGAATGAAGTGATTATTCATCATGATTGAAAGAGAGCATCCTGTGTTGAATTGTAAACAACATAGACTTTGTAATTCACAGTGATTTCTTGAAGAGTTTGTGAATCTTCAATAGAAGTAAAAGAAGTGAATTCAGAAGACATGATAATAATTTAAGAAAGATGATAATTTATTTTCAATAACTGATCACTGATGTGTGTAAGAAGAATTAATATAAGAGAAAATAATCTTGTTTCTTAGCTTAGTTATAATTTTAGTACTAACTCAGATTGAATATCATCAATGTATAAAAGTAAACAAACAATCTTGATTAATCTCTGTCATATTTCTTGAAATATATTAATATTGTGAAAGAGAGTGTTACTAAATTGTGTTATCAGATGATATCATTAAAAATATATTAATATTATAAATATCAATGTTGAAAAAATGTTGATACTTATACATTATAGTGATTTGTGAATCATGATAGTTAAATATATATATATATATATATATATTGTTCCTGACTTGATTACAACTTGTACAATAATTTTTAAAAACTCAAAATTAATTTCAATTATTAATAATTATGAACTTATAACTAAACTAACTAATATAAAAAGAAAAAAACTTTTTCTACTCATCATCTTTCTTCTCTTTCTCATTCTTCTTATCATTCTTCACAATTCACTTCTCATTCTTCTTCTCCTTCTTCTCCTCCTCATCTGAGATGATAATCACCTCAAAATCTCTCTTCACTGCCTTCTCAGAGGAGGGTTCTCACTGCTCCCTCTCAGCCAGGTCAACCTGTATCTCAAAATCCCGCATTTCCTGGTCTGCTGTCTCAGGTTCCACCTCAGCAGCAAGCAGATTGACATGCTCAGAGAGCAGGGCTGCCTTCTCAATGTTCTGAATCATGAAGTGCATTTGAGACCTGAACAAGGCCTCAATTCCCTCCTCCTCTGTCAGCTCCTGCTAATCAATTAGAGAACAGAAGTATTATCAAAAATTGTTATCTCTCAATAAATAAAAAACTTACCAGTTTTGACTTCTTTATCTCCTGCTTCAACACCCTCTCAATCTCCTTCTACTGCTGCTTATTTACAGCAACACTCTTCTTCTCTCTCTCTCTCTTCATCTTGATCTCAAATCATTCTCAGAACTTCTTCTGGTTTCATCACTGCTGCATGAGACTCTTCACTGTCTTCTTCTTCAATCTCTCACAGGTGACATCATCTGCATTATTTCTATACTTAGTTCAGTCTAAATCTATCAGAAGTGTTACTTAAAATTGTTATCATTCTGCTCTCTTACAGAGCCTCTTCAAGGCATCATAATGTATCTTGTGATCTGTCTCTTCTCACTTGAACATCTTCTTCTTCTCTCTCTTCAATCTGTGACAGTGCTCACGCGTCTTGATGATCCGCAGAACCGCAGAATATTTGAAGAGAGATGACATGATTGATTTCAGTGAGTGTTAAAGAGAAGTGAAGGCAGAAGAGGCAGTCAGAAATGATATGATAATGATGATGATAATGATAGTGATAATGATGATGATGATGATAGTAATAATAATAGTGATAGTGATGATGATAATAGTAATGATGATGATGATGATGATGATGATGATGATGATAATGAAAGAGAAAGTGCATTGAAATATATTACTGACTTACCAAATATAAAGAGACTCAAAGAAAATATTAACAGCTTTCAGTGATGTACAGAAACAGCTACAGTATTGTATAGCAACATCATCTTCATTCAATGCATACACTGTTGATATTCTTTGTATACAGTTATCATATAATCTGTATCAGAGATACATGCAGAAAACAGATCTTTGTTACTAGAACAAATGATTGCAGCAATTCTCTGTTTTCATATTATAAAGATAAGTTATTCTCATTTCTTTCTTCTCTCTTTTCTCTTCTTCAATCAACCACTAATTCCAAGCTGATATGAAAACTATTAAAACACTCTCAGAAACTCTCAAATTGAAGAGTATAGACTAATCAAATTTCAAATGCAGAAGAAATCAAATTATCTTCTACAGATTCAATTACTCATCCCTTCTCAAATAAAACAGCAGTCGCGTCCCCCCCCCTTCTCAACCAAACAAAACATGGCCTGCGAAAAGCGAGTACCACGCCAGGTCATAATGGCCAACACGGCCCCAGCATGCAGGGCTGCATATGCGCAGCACATGCTGGACTGAGAGACTGTGTGAATTGCAAACTGGCAGCAGCATCCCAGAGAGAGCCATGCAGCGTGGAAAAGCTGCAACTCTCAGCCACATGCACAGAGAGTGAATCACTGCAGTAAGTGCATGTGCATTGAAGTAATGCTTTTTGATAATACTCAGTCTCTGATATGATGAAAATAGAGTCTCTCTGTGAGATCTGTTTCTATCAGAAGTCAGGGAATCTTATATTTCTCAAGATCATCTTCACATGCCTTGTTCATGAAATCAATGAGAGAAATCATTGATTTCAGTGTTCTGCTCTTGATGTCATTCAAGTGACAGCAGAGTCCACCCTGGTCACACTTTTTAAGTGTATGTTTTCTAATTATTCACATTTATATAGATATATACTGATTATTTGTTAGATGATATTAAGACAATGACTCATCACAGCTGTGTTATTCTCACTGTGAGAAATACACAGTTGATGATGAACATTGCAAAGACTCTGAGAAGTGAGTATTTTGAAGATACTGCAGCTCTGTGATCTTGATTTTTTTTTGTTTTTGTTTTTTATTTTTTTCTTTTTCTTTTCTTTTTTTTTTTTAATTTTTCTTTCTCTTTCTGTCTTTTTCTTTCTCTTCTTTTTTTCTTTCTCTCTTTTTTTTTTTTTTTTTTTTTTTTTTGTTATGATTTTTTCTTGTTATTTTGTTTTTTGTTTTTTTGTTATTTTTTATATTTTACATTTTTTTTTTTAATTAAAATGATATTGATTATAATCTGTGTTTAGAAAAGTAATAATATTTGATAACACTCTCTGTTGAATTTTCAACAAATGAGCACTATGTTATGATATTATGTAAGTGAGAAATGATTTCATGGTCTCATTTGATGCTATTTTCAATAATGAAATCAGAATGAAAATGTGACTAAGAATTCAAACATATTCTTTATCTGAGACTAGATTTTTATTTGAAAAGTGAATCTGAGACCTTTAATATTTGAAATAACAGGATTTGAGATCAATGTGATGAACACAAACCATGACCAGAAGTAATGTTTTTAGGCAATGTGACAACTGTAAAGTTTGATCCTGGTCCCAGACACGGTCACACGGTCAGTCTAGTAATATATTTCAATACACTCTCTCTTTCATCATTATTATCATCATCATCATCATTATTATCATCACTATTATTATCATTATTATCATTATTATTATCATCATTATTATTATTATTATATCATTTCTAACTGTCTCTTCTGTCTTCATCTCTTTTCAACACTTACTGAAATTAATTATATTATCTCTCTTCAAATATTCTGCAGTTCTGTGGACTATCAAGATATGTGAGTACTGTCACAGATTGAAGAAAGAGAAGAAGAAGATATTTAAGTAAGAGAAGATAGATTGTAAGATATATTATAATGCCTTGAAGAGACTCTGTAAGAAAGTAGAATGATAATAATTTTAAGTAATACTTCTAATAGATTTAGACTGAACTAAGTATAGAAATAATATAAATGACACTGTCTATAAGAGATTGAAGAAGAAGACAGTGAAGAGTCTTATATAGTAGTAGTAAGATCAGAAGAAGTTCTGAGAATGATTTAAGACTAAGATGAAGAGAGAGAGAGAGAAGAAGAGTATTACTATAAATAAGTAATAATAGAAGAAGATTGAGAAGATGTTAAAGTAGAAGATAAAGAAGTCAAAACTGATAAGTTTTTTATTTATTAAGAGATAATAATTTTTAATAATACTTCTGTTCTCTAATTGATTAGCAGAAGCTAACAGAGAAGAAGAGAATTAAAACCTTATTCAGATCTTGAATGTGCTTCATAATTCAGAATATTAAGAAGACAGCTCTACTCTCTGAGCATGTCAATCTGCTTGCTACTGAGATGGAACCTGAGACAGTAGATCAGAAAATATGAGATTTTGAGACACAGATTGACCTAGCTGAGAAGAAGCAGTAGAAACTCTTCTCTAAGAAGACAGTAAAGAGAGATTTTGAGATAATTATTATCTCAGATGAGAAGAATAAGAAGAAGAAGAAGAAGAAGAAGTGAATTATAAAGAATAATAAGAAGAATAAGAAAGAGTAGAAAAATAATAAGTAGAAAAAGTTTTTTTCTTTTTATATTAGTTAGTTGTAAGTTCATAATTATTAATAATTGAAATTAATTTTGAGTTTTTAAAAATTATTGTACAAGTTGTAATCAAGTCAGAAATAATATATATATATATATATATCTATAATGTATAAGTATCAACATTTTTTCAACATTGATATTTACAATTATTAATATATTTTTAATAATATCATCTGATAATGTGATTCAAAGGTTGCTTAAGCCAGCGTACGATTACAGGTGTACGCCGGCTTCTTATATATTGTAATATCATATGCTAATTTAATTAGCGGCCGCTATGGCCTCTTTACACTTGTACACATACACTAGTAGTTCAGAAGCAGCCGTGTTATTATTCAACAGTCATATATTCTTTCAAATCACATTCTCTCTCACCAGATTCAGTCACACTCACATGATCATGTCATACACCCTAGCTTCATGTGAATTAGCTTGTCACTAGTGTTTCATAATCATATGATCTATTTCTGATTCAGCTAGTATTCTGTGTACACTCTCACAAAGAGACTTTCACTATATTATATCACTTATTCACTAACTTTTCTCATTCTTCAATTATCTTCTTCATCATCATCATCATTGAACATCACTATCTCATTCAAGATTTCTACTTCTTCTTCTATTCAACTCTTTCTATCTGTTCATCTATTACATTATACATATTTCTGACAATGATTCTCTGTTCTCATAACAAGTATTATCATAGTGCTCATACTGAGCAGTTCATTAGCAGTAAGTGTAATATATTGTGAAATATGATCAGAACTTATTCATCTTCTAACAATTGCTAGAATGTATTATTATGAATGACACATCTTCTTCATCTTCTTATATACTCTCAACTGTTTCCTTCAGTGAGTTTCTGATCATGTTTTCTAACATGATTTTATATAAATGCAGATGCTGATATGTTTGTTTTTATTCATATAGAATCTTCATGTGTTGACAGATTCACATTCACTGATAATAGTGACCTCAATGTTGCATTCTTGATTGAGAACTTGAAGAACATGATAATGAAGAAATTGCTTATATTATGTGTAACTGAGTCTTCTGTGTTCTCTCTTGCCTCTTCTGTCACTTCTTTCTCTGCTGCTTCTCTCTCTGTTTCTTTCTCTGCTGCTTCTCAATCTTCTACACTTGTCTCTATGTCTGATTCTCCCGCTCCTGCTACCTCTGTTCCTGTGATTCTCACTTCTGTCACTTCTGGTTTTGTCATCTCTGCTTTTGTTACCAGCTCTTCTCATTTCAAGAAGATGTTGTGTAGACTTGATGAATCATGTTTCTCAGTGTATACACTCTCACCCTTCTTACTGACTTCTAGAACAATTTATTGTATGAAGACAGTGTATAACATGACTATCTGAAGTTCAGTCACAGACACTGATTATTACATTCATTTTAAATATTTATGATGAAGCAATTATTTATTCATTTCAGAGAATCACTCTCTCTCTCAACAGTATCAAGATTATAAGTCTTTTTCTTTTTCATCTTTTCTTTCTAATACTGATTTTTCTGTTCTTAGAGAAAATCATTATAGATTTTACTGTGTATGAAGTCATAGTATTCACAGATATTAAGAAACTTTTTACAACTGTAAAGTTCAACATCACAGAGATATCTGCTCTAATGAATTTCTTCAGAATAATAGATCTGTATCAGTCTATTCTCTGATATCTGTTGTTCAACTTTACAATGCAGATAAAAGATATTTATGTTTTCAAAAACAGAAATGTGAATGTCATACTCTTTTACACTCACAGACATGAGACTTATACATCTTGTCTGAGATGTTATCATAAGAATGAGCTGTTCACACACTGCATTCTACTTTCTGCATTTTCTCATATCTCTCTCTCTCTTTCTGAGAAGTCTCATGTGTGTTGTAATTATGCATACAACTCTAAGACCAGCATATGTTCATTCAGTAACTGTTCTCATCTCTGATTTTATGATTTTTATATGCTAACAATGATTCTTAGTTACTTCAGTGTCAGAGATCATTCTGATCAAAGATGATAACACTGCTGAGACTATTCTCTCTCACTCTTAAGCTTCTTCTATCACTTTCTCTCCCTCTTCTGCAGAGAAGATTGTGCACACACTAGGTTGTA